AACAACCTCTGGGCTGATCAAAGTCAGGGCATGGTTATCTCACAGATTGAACTAGTGAGAAACTCTGGGTTAACCAAAGTCAGGGCATGGCTAACTCACTTTTTAAATGGGAATTTAGCGTTTTAAGTAGAGGTTTTTTGGAGGGAGGAAAACTCAGCCGAAAAAGACAACAACCCAATTTTAAATGAAGGGAGAGACTGATCTATCGAACTCTACTCTCATGTGCAAGGAATTGAACCCGCGAGACGCCATCTTTAAATTTCCTTCTACGAATTTCTGTTATGCCCACCTCCTATTTTCGAGCCAAATTCTTAATGGYATCATTGATAAATACCCTTATGAGTGATCAATTAGGGAAGTCCTTCTAAATAAACTATAATAAAGTGACTATACTAATATCTTTAGGGTATAGAACTGTAAATGTTTGAAGCAACTTTATGAAAATATACCATTTCAGTTTCTTATAGTGACATTTATGTCAATATTCGTTTTATGTCTATTCGAAACTCTATATAGTTTAGACATAGTGGAAAGTCCGTTCGTGCTCAGCGATACAGACAGCTGATACTAATCAAACGTCTAATGAATATTAAWGCGCCTATTTGATTGTTTAATGATCTAGCCAGACACCACTCTCGTAATRGCTGACAAGTGTACGAAAACAAGGGTAACCCAGTCATTAGTTCACAATAAAAGATATAAAAGCACATGAAATACTTTTATAGAAGTAAAGTATAGAAACTGAACTTTTGTTTTGRACCTGTATTCGCGCTATCCACCTTTATTTTGAATRAGCAGCCTTGTGCTCAGCCTTGCGAGATGACTGGGTGACCTCATTGTCGTGGGCTCGTCAGCCTTTATGTGAACGGTGAATAAAAAGCCTTCAGAATTTCAACACTTACTTCTTTCAGATGACAGTCTACAGCCCCTTTTTTGTCCTCTCCTTAATGCTCCTAGGAAGCAATGACCAAACTGGCGGCACGATCACGGTCGTGACACGGCAAGGCAAGGACACGGTCACGCTAAGGTCTACACCGYAGTGTCAGACCAATCACATTGCGCGAGAAAAAAAATCGTCAAATTAAAATTCTAGAAACCATCACGGTCACGGTACGGAACTTCTAAGGCTCTGTGCTTTACAAAGTCAGGCAAAAACTACTCTACTGACGTGTTAGCGAAATGAAATTATAACAAACGACAACCTGATACGCTATAGGCTGTTACTACTGGAAGCTGGAAGCAAAAATATCAAGCAAGCTTTATCTCTTTACACGATTCGCAATTTGATTGGCTAATCTTTTTTCCTTAGATCACCTGKGCCCTGCTGTACGAAGGGYGAATAGCGCTATCCGACGGATAAATCTTATCCAGTGGATAAGTAGATATTGTTATCCAATGGATACGATTTATCCGTCGGATAGCGCTACACACCAGGCCCTAGACATTTGAAGAATATTTGTTTATCGTTASTACGGTAATGTCGATTCGCCTGAAAGGTCCATCTGACTTCATRCAGACTTTTATCATAACACCTGGTATTAATATCTAACCGATCCAGATAAGAAAAGACTAATTATATGGATGTCATCATGTTGACAATCAAAAGTGTGTTAAGAAATTAYTCCTAGGAGCCACCTTTAAAAGTAAAGTTGCCTATTTAAGATTATCTAGTCTTTAAACATGAGATCCTCTAGGCTCAGGCTTAAGTCATGTTAAGTTGCCATTGCAGTTAAACCCCATAGGAACAAGGAGTTAACAAGGTTTAAGAGCGATAACAAAATCAAGAGTACTAGTGGAACACCTGAAGGAACTATGACCARCTCTTATTTCTTATCTTAGTAATCTACTCTTTACCTCATAGCCCATGTACCTTATTCGTTGTGGTGAAGACCRCGTGCCATCATTCTTTTGAGAATGAGAGTCTTTGTTTGAGTTGTATCCATATTCATGTATTCTCATGTGCAACCGTTAATTAACAAAGGATACTCTAGAAAATGATGAGACACGCGTGGTCTGAAAAGGGGAAAACATTGAGTTCTATCCATATTTATGCGCAACTGACTTGAACAAAAAAATGATAATCTGGGGAATGMCAAGTGGTCTGTAATGGAAAACGTTGAGTTCTATCCATATTCATGCGCAACACTTAAGCAAAAAAATCATAATCTAGGGAATGACAAGTGGTCTGTAATGGAAAACGTTGAGTTCTATCCATATTCATGCGCAACACTTGAACAAAAAAATGATAATCTAGGGAATGACGCGTGGTCTGTAATGGAAAACGTTGAGTTCTATCCATATTCATGCGCAACACTTAAGCAAAAAAATCATAATCTAGGGAATGACAAGTGGTCTGTAATGGAAAACGTTGAGTTCTATCCATATTCATGCGCAACACTTGAACAAAAAATTCATAATCTAGGGAATGACGCGTGGTCTGTAATGGGGAACGTTGAGTTCTATCCATATTCATGCGCAACACTTGAACAAAAAAATCATAATCTAGGGAATGACAAGTGGTCTGTAATGGGGAACGTTGAGTTCTATCCATATTCATTCGCAACACTTAAACAAAAAAATGATAATCTAGGGAATGTCAAGTGGTCTGTAATGGAAAACGTTGAGTTCTATTTGAGGGTCTATTTTCGTGATATAGCGTTTTTTATAGAAGGGAGTAATCGACCACACGCTTGCAACGGTATGGAAAAACGATACCAYACGAATCACCTCACGCGCAGGCCAAACCCTGCACAAGTATCTCGAATACGAATGATCTGCACCATACCAGTAGCAAGCAGATTATTAATTACTAGAAAAATGCAGACGAAAGGCTTAACTAAAGTGCAGTACTTTAAACCACACTTGAAAACAGCAACCAAGAGATCCAATAGTAGATTTACGATTAAAACGCAAAATTAATACTGTATATACAGACTGTTTGGTCAATCTGTAACTCAAATCTAAAAACTACCTTAATTAAAAGGTTAGAATTGCCTCGAAAAGAGAAAAAAAAACTAGCAAATTTTTGAGTGAGTTGGTCTACATTGGTGATTGTTTGGCAGACTTGACAATGAAGTGTCGTATGCCAGGTCAAGTACTCGTCATACATCTAAGCTAATTGACCCAGCGAAGATTGTTAATAGCTCACAGTTTCAGGCCATGCAGAGAAACCACGACGTCTGATTGAAAAAAAGGCGAATAAAGGACRTGGTTATTATGGATCGCGTGAACATCTTGCTGTCTTATTGCAGAAAATTTGAGAAAAAAATTGTAAATTTCGTTGAATGTAAAAWCAAGAAAATTTTGGTGAAATAAAAGTTGGTGAATAGGTAAGTCCTAAGAACACACACAGAAATGACATTTGTCTTATTTTAAACAAAAGTCATAACAGATATGTAGTTAATCGAAYTAGGGGATATATACTCGAGTTTGGAATCGTGTTTCAAGCCGATAGCTAAYACAATAGACAGGAGTTAATATATCTTCCATTTGTTTATTAGTGTTGCCTCCTTTTTTTGTTCATAACCTTAAGATCGTGTAGCTTTGCACGATGCCAGAAGATACAGCTCACTGTTTTACTGCTGGGATTTTTACTTCAGGTTAGGATCACTAAGATATCCGTGCTACCATGATTGCCTGTCTATAGTCTTCTAGTCGTAAATCAGGAGTAAAAGGCAATAAAGAATAAAATATAGCTTAAGGCTTTAGACTATTAAAATTATCCATGTACCGAAAATACCAAGAAAAATGCAACTTCAACCACATAAGAAAGGAGTTTTCAAATATCAAATACCCGATATTACAGCGATAGAACACTTTAGAGTTATTGTTAATGTACAAAGCTGTGTTGGTAAACAGTTAGCCTGTTGATCCCCTTGTGACTTTTGAGAATTTACCGATAGATTCCACCCGCTTAAGCCAGAATGTTTAAGCTTGTTTGATAGCAAATATCCCCCAAAGAATTTCATAGAAAAGTGTAGCAGAAAAGTAAAAAAATTGTTTTTGAAGGAATAAAGAAGTAATACATACGATAATCGATAATGTAAGAGGCCTTTGCCCGCGGAATTCCAGTTGTCTAACCGTTTTAAGGATAACAGTCTTGGGTGTTGCCTTCAAGCTTTCAATCTATCTTGAATTCGCTTTTAAATCAGTTCCTTTCGGGTAACATTTTTCTGTATTTCTGAGACAGCAGAYATACCATTTCCATTGACGATCCACGGAGAACGATCTATCAGTTAAGTTGGTATAGTTTATCAAAGATTTGATTGAATATCACTCGTTGACGTAATTGAGAAGTCAAACACATGCGCAGAAGATAAAAGAGTTTTCCGTTCCGCGATCGAATATTTGCTCGACTGATAAATCGATTACTCGTTTATCTTGTGAAGATTGTAAGGACGTTTTTTAACCTTTCTGCAGATACGATTACTGAAGAAACAGCAACCAAAAGAGCAAAAAAAAAAAACTTTTAAGAACGCAATTTCTTTGGGGGGAAAAAGTCGGGGGAAAATGGATYGATTTAGCAAATAAAAGAGGATAAATTTATGTTAGGTTTAAGTTAATGGCTGTCCTGCCAGCCATTGCTTAGCAACTCGTTTTTCTTGTCATGTGAGCTCATACATCACTGAAATATTTTATCAGTRACCAAGAAACCAAGACGTAGATCGAAACTTTCGCTTTTTCATTGTGTGTCTGACATACTTCGAGAAGAACTAATATGATGACACATTTTGGACAGTAAAATATTGATGGTTTTCAACCWTTCCCAAGAGAATTAAATAACAAAAGACACGGCGGCCATGTTGGAGGATATGATAACCAAAGAATTCATTGACAATTCTTTTGTTAAGTTCCTCCAACATGGCCGCCCTGAAAACCATCAATAACTAATGACTTGTTTTCACGAGAGCGTTAGTTTACATAATATTTCATGCTACCGCCTCGAAAACTCAAATCCATCAAGAAAAATCATATCGATGAATTTGCGATAACATCTTTACATGGCAACCCGTTTCTTCATGGTATATGTAAAACAGCGTGACGTCAGAAATTAACGTCCTTAAAATTTCAATATATGCATCAAGAGTTCCGCGCTGGTATTTAAATTGCATTTTTCTTATCAAGCACAATTTTYATTGAATGTTTAAGAGCAAGTTGTGATAAGCTAAGAATTCCAACTCAAATATACCAAAATATAGCAAATTTTACGACCCATGATCCCACTTTTTGATCCACTGAGCATGCGCTTAGAACGATGACGTGGAACTCTTGATGCATGTATCTTAACAACAAAATTGTTGTCGATGGTCACGTGAGCTCACAGTTTTCGTCTCATGTGACGTCATTTAAACATAACGTGAAGTCTGGTAACTAGGAAACGAAACCATCGGTTAAAAACCTTCTCTCATTAACGTAAAGTGCTTGTAAAAAATATGGAAAAACTAGATGAACGCTTTTTTGGAATGAAAAAGAAATAAATCTTATCCCCGAGTGTTTTTTTTATAACAGTCTTCTTATAATACCTCGTTATGGTCTTCTAATGAACCATCAAATCTAGACAAATTTCTGGAGAAGTGTCTGAAATGACTTTATGACGGGGAACAAAGCCGTCCGTGCCCCCGCAAGCCACTTTACACTGAACCTTCTAGTACAATTTAGGAATAATAGYCTCTTACTTGCAATAAATTTCCTTCAAAAGTGAAGCGGTTTATTTTTGAAAGACTAGGATTTTTG